TACACAGCACACATGCGCACAGGTCGGTTGGTACAGGGAAGAAGACCGGAGTGTAGCAACAACGCACGTGTGTTAACCCGAACCGAAACCGGAAGACCGGGGTGTACAAAGTTGGGTCAAGGTCAGTTAGGGGGGTGTACAAGCGGGATACTCTTCCCTGTCCAGGGCCCGTGGTGCCTCATCCGTGGTACCTGTATTAGGGGAAGAGAGGGCGGGAGAGGCACACATAATGTCATATGATAGGCATACAATCAGGTACAGTCGGGTTTCAAATGCGTTACAGCGCGACAGGTCGGATTACGCGGTTTCGTCCGTTTAAAACAAAGCTCAGCAAAGGTTATCTGGCAGGAGTGATACATTGGTAATACAAAATAATCAGCCCCTCCGGACGTCAGGTCGGTTCTGTTGGCAGCGCTTTCGCTTTCCTCCCACTCCATCGGAGTGGGCGCTCAAAATTGGTGCAATCGAGACCAACTTGCAGGCAATGACAGACGGGCAACAAAATGTTGACATCGGTTATTGAGGCATAAACAGGCCTTAAGTAGGAACGAAACTGGGGGAAAACGAGCAGCAAGAAAACGAAACGGTATCGTAATAAACAGGTGTAGGTCATGTTACTCACGAGTAGTCGGAAAACAAGGAAAGTTACCCTTGTTCACCGTCGATTCTCCCTGGGAATCGACAATGGGTATAGCAGCTTCCCTTTGCCCAAACAATAGCTCAGTCAGTCACCATCCTAAAGAAATAGTGTTTCAGGAATTTGTAAATTACGCTTAGCCATGATTGGCCAATAAACGTCGATCAGTGGAGTACCAGAAACTCCTCCAGTATAAGATCTTAGCGAGCCTCCTCATCACCATCTGGCACCACAAGCAGCAGTTCAGATAGTCTGGAAATCTGTTCCACTCAGTGGGTGTTAGTGTGGACGTGTGCATTGTCATAGTATTTGGCTACTCTCCGAAAAATCTCGATCAAGGGATCTTTTCCAGATAAGCCCCGCCACATTTTACCAGCTTCAATTTAATGTACGCACACAACCTTGACCTATTTTTGATGAAAACGCAATTCCTTATCCGCATCTAGACTCATTTTGTGCAAAAAATTTCTCCGTTCGAACGTAAAACGCCAAATGGACTTTCTGACGCTTTTAACTCTCGTTCATGACAAGAAGACGGCAATACGTTTTTTGCAAAGCCACGCAGTGATCCATCAGCAACGTTTATGCAACAATGGCCACCAAATGACACTTTCAACTGGTTGTGACAGGTGGAAGTGTAATGCCCGACAGTGTCGGCAAGACATCCGTCTTACAAAGGGAACTTAGCTGGGGCGGTCTAGGATAGAGTTTAGGACAATAATTCTACTCATCTATTGCTGGTCCAAAAATTTGGCAAAGCTCAACTTCTGCTCAGAGGAATTATCTATTAGCCACACAACCGCTGTTGACTGGAAGAAGTTCCTTCGCGAAGTTTGTGCCTGTCGGTCTTTGTGAAACTGCTTGACAGCATTCGTTTATAAGTGCGCGATAGTCAATGATCATTCAGGAAAATTCAAGAAGACGTGTTCATGGACTGTCGAAGAGTTTTCAGAAAAGTTGTGAGCGGCTTCCTTTATCGAAAATATACTGCGATATCTCGAATATCGTACCAACAGAAATACGAGGCGGCCTGTGTGCAGCACATTTAGTTGAAGAATATCATTAACGATAGATTTGGTTGACCCTCTCGTGAAAACCAAATTGATTTGCAAATGAGTGTATCTGTCGCAATCGGCGCAATTTGGTTTCAAGTAGAACGGAAAGGTTGCTTGTAGCATCTTGACAAGTCAGGTATGTGTGCCCTCCGTAATACTGAGGGGGGAGGAGAACAACCCTTCCTTGAGTTAACTGTCATTCCCCCTCTGATCAACAGTTCGTGAAACTCCTTTGGTCTACGGGGACTAGTGACCGATGTCTCTTGAAAAGAGCTGCCCGTTATTTGCGCTTATCACAGACAAATTTATAAGTAGTTCGCAACCTACATACAGACGAGGAGTCTGTTCTAGCTAAGTGCGGTCATTTGAGGTTTCCTTACTTTGAAAATTATTTCGGTTTAACGGTTTAACTGAATCCCAGTTCATTTGGTACTCTTCAACTGAATTCACTGAACAGGGGTTGTCTCGTGTTTCGTTTGGGACGATATTCAAGATATGGCAGTCCGTGGTATAAATCATTTGGGTCATGGAAACACTGGAATTGTGCTTAGTTGATGAACCTCAAGAAGGACATAATTGGTTGTAAGCCGTTGAACAGTTCTCAGAGACTAGCGAATACACACTCATTTGCAAGCTAATTTGGTTTGGATGAACCCCAAGAAGGGTGAAATCGGTCGTGGGCTGTCGATGAGTTTTCAGCAACCTTATGAGTAATGCATTACAAAACACACAAGTTTTCACAGACCTCTAATACCCTACTGTGCAGAGGTGGACCGCCTCATAACTATCAGCTGAGTTATCCTTCCGTGTAGTACCGCGCACGACCGAACACGTATGTCTAAGATCTGGTTTGAATCGATAGTACGCATAACTTATCGATCTTCTGTTGGATTTGAAATTTTTGCCTGTGTTATCCTACGAGGATGTGTGAGCAGAGGACGTCACACAAACACCGATTGGCGTCTGAAGATGTGACGTTGGATTTGCAATCTGTCATTCAATCATTCAATGAAGATCCACAAGAGGTGAGAATTTACCTGATCGTTTGTTTGGATTAGGTGTCCTCAACGCCATTCAGCCTGGAGAGTACTGTCTCTCTCTCTCTTACCGAAAACTTGCGATTGGGCTCACACGAGATTTTCTCCAGTGCCCTCAATATATCAATAAATCAGTGAAAAATCAGTCATTTATTCATTGTCGTGTAAAAAACAGTCGGAGTGGTTACGGTTTAATACACACCACATCATACGGGGATTGCTCGTTTATTTTCAGAAAAATGAGGCCAAAGAAACTCCCGCTGGTCTTTTCCGCGTGCCGGAAATTGCCCCTCACAGTCAGCGCGGTGGATTACCTCGACCGATTGGCAGAACATGCGATCAAAATGACCCAAGCTTTTGTGAACCAGAGCCCGAAACCGAGGGCCAAATTCGGAGTCCTACGGAACGTTCGGAACGTGACGCGCTACTTCACAACATTGCAAAGCTACTGAGTAAGGATGCTTCAAAGTCAAGATCAAATTCAACGGTGCTGTCTGAAGTATCTGGCAAGAAACACGCTCCGTAAGTTTCATACTTCTCAGCCTTCTATTATTTACACACCACATTGCACCTTGAATGCACCCGTTTTGATAAACCTATATGTGGTTGTCCCGGTGGAACTTGGCAGGACAATTGGCCGGTTGTAAGCACGAAAGTTTTTGGAATCACGTTTAAAATTAGCCTGGAAAGTCAAAAACTCTCCTCAGATGGCTCCAGTTGAATAAATCTCCCATTAAAAAAGGCGAAAGGTTAGCTAGTTAAAGTTACCTCTTCGCGTTTGTGTTGACAAAACCAAAGCCACTTTCTTTGTCTACGAGTACGAAATTGTTCATGGAGTTCAGGTGTTCTACCGATAACGGGTGGGAATTGCCAATGTCAGTTTTACTCCAGTTTCACTGGCAGTGAGCACATTGATGCACAGTTCTGTGTGCACATGCCGTGAGAGTGGATGTGATCCCATCTGATGATTCGAAGCGGACTGATATCTGCCGTCAATTTCGTTTCGGAATTTGTTTGGCCAAAGAATTCAAGAAATGCTGAAAACCCGAAACACCCTGCGTGAATACCTTACCGGCAGTTTGGCGAAACATGAACAAATGGCGACAGTAGTTCACGTAAAAAAGCGATGTGATGAATTTGGCGTGTATTCTGGACTGTTGAAGAAAAATACACAAACATCCTGGATGGTCTGCTTCACGACTGACATCGTGGAAGGCAGCATACGAACGCTGTGCCTCACTATCACCGTGCTGACTTATCTACAGAAATCGCTCCTGTGAAGAGAAACAAACAGTTGTTATGGCAAGGGCACACTCGTCAAAAGTCCGAAATCCATACACCCGTTTAAATCCTTTGCAAGGAGACTAACAACAAAGAGGTGACTACGCTACTCGTGATAGTTTACTTCCTTGCGTCTGCAGTCAAACACACGAAAAGCCACGTGAATCCCACCAGTTTGCGTCGATACGGAGCAAATTTTCACTACATTCCATCTTTTGGTTTACGCAGTCATGGAATCAGCTGATATTTCCAGATGGAGTTGAAACTAGCTTTCTCTCAAAAGACCATATAACCAGACGACTTGCAGCCCTGGATGTTACTTTACTTGACCACCGTGAGCCACCCTTTGTAGCAGGACAGGAAAATATTTTAGATCAGCTTCACGGCCATCTTCCTGTTCGGCAATCAACCATAAAACAGGTACGTGAGCAACTGGAATCAAAAAACGATGGTGCCGTTGCCCATCAGTCTCCGCTAGGAAACAACTGTGTATTCGTAACTCGACCTCATCACCTCAAACGAAAACATCGCAGGGTCTTTGGAATAGCAAACACAAGTGAGTTGATGGGCGTTTCGGTCCATCTTGGACCTGCCACATCGCCCATCGCCGTGAAACCGCGTTACCATAGCACAGCTTACTGCATGTAGCCCACAAACCAGAGTCCGCACAACAGGCGACTATGGACCAACTCACATCGAACTGCGATCGATTGACGAAAAGTTCAAAACTGAATGATGATCAGGCTGCCGGAAGTACGCCTGTTGAGCGTTCATAGGCTCGTGCGTATGCCTGAGGGCCTGATTATGCTCACCGCTTTGTTGGATTTTATTAAACTATATTGGATTTCCTGCTTAAAATTTGATCTGTGAATCCGTTATTATTAACATACACAGATAGACAGATAGATAGATACATAGTTTAACTGGTTGCCTGATCTGTTGATGGATTGATAGATAGAATGCTCCATTGACTGACTGATTGACTGACGGACTGGTTGATCGATCGGTCGATTGATTGATTGATTGACTGAATGAATGATTGATTGTTGATTGATTGATTGATTGATTGATTGATTGGTTGGTTGATTGATTGATTGATAGCTGAACAAGTCGATGGGCGTGCAAATAAATAAACAGATGAGTATTGGACCAATTGACTGTATAATACCACGTCGGTGGAAAGGAATTTTAATCCTGGAATGAACGCTTGAGCCTCTAAATTAGTATTACTTAGTTTTCTTATCAACGTTTTGCCAGCAGTATAAGTACATTAAGCAAGCAAAATTTAAGCGATAGGATGATGGTCGGCCAAATCAGCTCCGTTCAATAATGGCGTGTAGAAATATATTTTGATTAACATCGGGAACATTTCCTCGTTTGCGGAAGACACCAGGTCGTCCCAGGTGACCTCGTCGCTTTAAATGTCACAGGAACAGGCTCACTGATAAAGAACTAGACAGTTCTGTATTCACCAAAGGAAACTACTCACAAGGTTTCTGAAAGCTTTACGACGAACAACCTACTCCTAACGTTAGGTGTTTCGTCGTTCCATTTATTGACCCAAATTTATGAGAAAAAGTATAGAGGTGAAAACCAACTTATCTTTTAGTCACCTCGGCCACTGCTATACCATGAGAACTATCTTTACATAGACAGTTTTAACCGGACAGAACTTAACTGGTTTTGTAGAATCAGCAAATAAAGGATCCTGTTGACATATGTTTGATGACAATCTCGACACAATTTTTTCATGACCGTCGGTCTGTTTACTTTAAATAGCAAAACCAGATTGGCTTTTCTCAGATGACTGCGTACTGATGCTCAGGGTTAAAGTAATAGAGTAAAATCTCTATTATTAATCGTTATTTTTTAATTTGTACACACAGAAATTTAGCTCCTCTTTCCTCTTCTTTTTAGTGTAACGCATTACTAGTTAAAACGATTTGTTCTGAAGCTGGGAAAGTGGAGAGCCGTTCTCCTCAAACCACAGATGGGTCGTAAAAAACGATTTCACAAAAGTTGGTGTACCCAGTAACATATGGTTTCGGATAAAATTAATCATTCTCTAAAAGAGAAATTTCTGAATGTGAGTGCTCAATTTTAACCTAAAGTTGTTGAGTCAGACGGAACATCAATCCTGCTAAGCTCCTTTCAAGCAGCATTAGCGGAAATGTGGGGACATTGTTGACCCTTTCGGACGGTTCAAGTCTATCCACAGCTTACTGACGGGTCAGCTCCATAGAATGAAGAAACAGGTTGAATGAAATCGAAAATGTGTACAAAGAGATAAATTTACACCACCCATCTGGAGACAGATAGTTCTGACAAGGTTCAGAGGAGGGTTATAATTGCTATCGTGAATCAGCTGACGAATGCATCAATGCTGGCAATATCTTCTAGTTAGAAGTTGGTGCCCAGCGTGTGCAGTACTTGCCATTGACAGCACTATGCATGAACTTGTCAAAATTAAAACAGGATATCATATGAACAGAGGTACTCACAGTCCTAGTGAGACAAATGCACTGCTATGCAGTCACTCATCGTGCTGTACGTGAGAAAACCACCACGCATTACTAGTTGAAACGATTTGTTCTGAAGCTGGGAAAGTGGAGAGCCGTTCTCCTCAAACCACAGATGGGTCGTAAAAAACGATTTCACAAAAGTTGGTGTACCCAGTAACATATGGTTTCGGATAAAATTAATCATTCTCTAAAAGAGAAATTTCTGAATGTGAGTGCTCAATTTTAACCTAAAGTTGTTGAGTCAGACGGAACATCAATCCTGCTAAGCTCCTTTCAAGCAGCATTAGCGGAAATGTGGGGACATTGTTGACCCTTTCGGACGGTTCAAGTCTATCCACAGCTTCCTGACAGGTCAGCTCCATAGAATGAAGAAACAGGTTGAATGAAATCGAAAATGTATACAAAGAGATAAATTTACACCACCCATCTGGAGACAGATAGTTCTGACAAGGTTCAGAGGAGGGTTATAATTGCTATCGTGAATCAGCTGACGAATGCATCAATGCTGGCAATATCTTCTAGTTAGAAGTTGGTGCCCAGCGTGTGCAGTACTTGCCATTGACAGCACTATGCATGAACTTGTCAAAATTAAAACAGGATATCATATGAACAGAGGTACTCACAGTCCTAGTGAGACAAATGCACTGCTATGCATTCACTCATCGTGCTGTACGTGAGAAAACCACCGGCAGGAACCAACGGTTATGTTAAAAAAACACCTCTCAATCAGACGTGGAACGTTTTGCAACCTCTACAAAGACAGTAACTAAGATAAGCATTTCAGCCTAGCCTCGTTCATAGTTGCAACTCCGTGATCGTCGACACGACCCTTGGACTCTCCGTTTCTGAAGGTTCATTTGGAATCTTACGGCCAACGACGTCCCTCTAAACAGAGAATCAACTCGCATATCTCTGGGACGACATCAAATATCATGGGAAATGTCTTTTGCTGGAGCACTACAAACAGAAGATCCTCTCAATGAATCCAGCAAGTGTGGCATCCTTACATTTCGTTGAACTGTTTTTAGTCTATCCAGCTAAAATGGTATCCGTGGGTCGCGTAAACTCAACTTCGACAACACCACAACGCATCAGTCTTGTCGAAGTCCATGGGGTATATGGCAGATTTGTGCTGAAAGTTTGCCATGATTAGAAGAGATGTTAGACACTTCTGCAAATTTTTGGCACACCAACTTCGGTCGTAGAGAGGCTGTGGTTCCTGGATCATGGAACCGAAAATTATTTTGCTGAAATGCTCCATGATACTACCTATTCACCTAGTGAAATCATTTTTCTGAGGAGAAGCAAGGGTGAGGAACCCACGTGAGGATAGAAATCTAACGAGCTAAAGTATTCCGGATAGTAACACACGCCCCCTACCTACACATAATCACACTTCTAACGAAGTTGGAAAGCGAACTGTTTTTCGGAGCCTTGCAGACAAACCCTCCTTAGAGGTTCATATTCTAGGCTGGCCGCGTTGTGGTTACCCAGTCATTCGATATAAGAAACTCGCTGTTCACAACTCTGTACAACAGCCCCAAGTAGAGATTAATGTATAAACTAACTCACTGTGAAGCTGAACTTACATCGATTTCTCTGGGCCAACACATGGTAAGTATTTTCTACTTTTCCCGGATCATGGAACCGAAATAAGTGGATGCAAGACCCTCAAATAAGTTCGGGCGGAAAATCACTAGATATCCTGTTGGACGGATCATGGAACCGAAATAAGTGGATGCAAGACCCGTCAAATAAGTCGGGCGGAAAATCACTAGATATCCTGTTGGACACTTGAAGTAAGCCTGCCAAATGCCTTTAATGAAGCCTGTGATGATTGGTAACATTGATTCACTTATTATTGATCAACGTGTTGATCGATCCATTTGCCTGATTCGTCCAATCGTCTGATTGATGTTTACTCACTTGTCGGGGTAACTTTTGGGTCCTTATCGGTTTTTATCGAGCAGTGATGCCCTCGCGGCTTGAGTGAACCAAATATTTTTCTCGTAAAAGTTGAAATACGACAAGATCCTAGCTGACTTAGTTTTTCGGAAGAGTTTCTCCAAGCCGAATAAACCGATGGCTTATTGCAGTTTACACTACACGATCAATATCTACAACTTGGTAATGAAGAACCTTCCTCAAAATCCTGATGTCGACTGAATCACCCGCTAATCCTTTCAGGAGCTCGGAAATAGATACACTTTCCATGTTTCGCCGAATTACAAGGCCATACGGCGTCCACGCTTGACGCCAGCCAATCGTAAGAGTGTTGACCGCATCCATCTGAATGAGAACCTCGAAGGAGACGGATGGGGAACGCGCTTTCCAGCCACTTAAGCAAGGTCACACTCACCCCCACAGTATCAGATATCCCATTTCCTGATGGCTACCTACGCCCCTGGATTTACACATTACGAAGCACTCGAACTACCACGTGGTCATCTTTGTCCGTATATTCAATGCGTACTTCAATCCGTAATTCAATGCGGATGGCGTAGATACTTTGACAGTCATTTCGACCGGCCATTCTAGAGTTAAAGCGCCAATTATTCCTGTTTTGCTGTGACGTAAACGGACCTCAGTAACTGTGGGATTTGTCATGCTAATTGCACACAACACAGCAACTATGGCGGAAGTATTGTACCCGAGAACGAAGGATGCCCTGGTGACATTCAAGTCGCCGCTCCTTTACTAATCGAAAACATGATTTTTTTGCGTGGGCTCTGCTGTGTAAGGTACCATGGTAGACGACCAACTTGAAAAAGTATGCTTCAGAAGACAACTTAGATTTACCATAGACACTGGGATCATGGTCAATGTACCGGGAAGAAAATTTCTTCAAATGTATAAAATATATTCGAACAGTAAGTTACACGTTATAGTTTTTCTTCTTTGTCTTTTATATATTGGTCAGATAGACGCTGACGTAGGTGTAGAGTAGTCGGTGGACACGTGACCATCTTCAACTGTTATGGTGACCATCAGGATTTCCCATAATACTGCCATTGGAACGACTGTTAGATTGAGATTGACCTGAACTACACTGCAGTGTATGGTCTCATCTGTTTTCTTCCGTATAACACATTGAGTTTGCACGATTTGTAGCCCTTAATATTTCCAGTCATGTGGCAAGAATGACACTACTGAACTTGGAGAAAGCGAACGATCGAGCAACGGGTTTTAACCGTAAACGGACTTGCCATACCTTTATCTATCTTCTTCTCTTTGGTCAGCCCAAAGCATCAGCATGCTAAAACCCGTCGGTTGCAAACATCGCGGTCACAGCGGAACGGTAGAGGATTCACGCCAGCCACAGGTCCATATCGATTTATATCAACAGCACTGGTATCCTGGGGGCTGGTCCGCTGTTACTCATGCGACCATGGTTACAAGAAACCCTGCCCATCGTGACGAGTGAGCTATTCGGTTTTCAAGCTACGATTGGCAGAGACTGGCTCCCGAAGCAGATAACTTGACATTTGGTCACTTCAGTGTAGCTTCTCTCGTAACGAGAGTGAAAATCAAATATAGAAGGATAGCACGATGCTAGCGCTAATACAGCGTAATATCGCAGATTTCGGAGCTTAATTTCACACAAACTAATTGGACACATTCACGGTCACTGTTTTTGGTGTGTGCAGCTTGCTACAACCACCTGATCGCAAAATTTCTCCTGAACGAGACCTTCCAAACGAGACAGGAGGTTGATTTCATGCCACAGGTTATCCGTATTTCGATAACAAAACAAATGGACTTGAGGGGAAGACCTTTGGTTACTTTAGCTTTCATTCAGAGCCGTTAATCTTAGTGCAGTCTACACAGCTCCCTTATCTATGATGAACAGTGAATGACCATGGAGAGTCCCACACCACTGCGTGAACCCACATCCATTGAGCTAGACAAGTACGTATCAAATTTTTAGACCCTGATGGACAGTGAAAGGAACTATGTATGGACTATCCTATCTCATGATTATTTGAAAAACAATTACTCAACGGGAAGTAATTTCCAAAGGTGAAGTTTTTCGACCGACGGAGAACTTTTTTGCTAAATGTAAGAAAGGGGAAACTCACACAGGTCCTCGCCTTGCCGTTGTGCTTGCGAAGGGGCATGAACTGTCTGGCCCTGTCAAACAGGTCTGGTGAGGGTATGTACCATGAAGGTATCGTTCGCAGGAAAGCTTTTCGCTAAAATTTATGCACCGAAAAGCTATCGGCCAGATGCGAGACTGAGAAAAAACAAATTTGCGCTGGAGCAAAGTTTGGTAACCTAAAAAAATAAAAGCTCCATTTATCACTGTTTTGTAACATGGGCATTTGCGAAGAGAGTGTAGTGGACAATACTCTCAGGATGTGCTTTGAATCTCCAAACACCCACCAGTTGCTGTGTATCGGGAGTTTTAGAAGTCATCTGGATTTTCTAATGGATGTTTTATTATAAAGGAAGCAGATCTGAAACCCACCGTCTATCACATATCACATCTTGCAACCTGGCATAACGCAATCGAACGGTAACCAGTATTCCAGTGGAGAAACAAGTTTCGTAAGCGGGGACATGCTAATTGCTGCTCATGTGAAACGCACCCATATGGATATTTGACGAGTTCGACCAGGACCACGTCGGGCAGTCATCGAACTGGTGAGTTTTGTTTAAAGCGTTTGTTCCTTCAAACAGCAGGTCTTATTCTATTCTGTCCTATGGAATTTATCAAACAATTCTACAAATGGACTTTTGCACCACGTGAGGACAACGAAAGTCAGGTCACTGTGTTTCGGAATAAGTACAAACAGCATCAATAGCAGCTTGAAAGTTTTGCAGAGGTGACTCCGATTCAAAGTTCCAAGCAGTGTGGAAAAGTTGTTATGTACGAAAACCTGTAGACGTTCAAAAGTGGTTGGAAAGGAAAAAACCGAGATCCGTTTGAGACACCACATGTTTGGAGTACTTTGACCTTGGATAACACAATACTCTCCAACAGAAGGATATTCCTTCAGCAGGGAGCCCCCAATTGAAGATATATTCTATCGGCATCGAATGAGTTCCCACTGCAATCTTTCTTTGGCGAAACAAACCTACAGAATAAGGAACCCTCCGGTCCTCTAAAAAGCTGGATTACTCCCAGAAAACAGTACCATTAGAACAAAGATGAACGGATGAACATCCTTTGGCAAGGCTTTTTTTGGAGTTATACAGTTGCAAAGCAATTTTTGTTGCAACTGTGAAACTTGAAGAGACCTTGCTGAAAACATGTTCACCAACCCATTTTTGTTATTTGCCAATAGATTGATTTATGCATAACTCTGGCTGAAATGTGCCATATTAAAGAGGCTAGAACATAAAAAACAAAGAAGTACGGAAGAGAAAAGTCGAGTCAAACAAAGCACTGCAAAAATGCACCTCTGATGTGAACTTCTGCATTCAAGAACCAAGAAAAGCTGCCAACTTCCTACAACTAGCAACAAAACCCTTTGAACATCGACGTTTTAACTTTTGAGGAAATCACTCATGTGGCCGACATAGAGGAATATTAGATGTCTGTGCAGTGGACGGAGGTATGGTGAATCTCTTGTGGAGCTAAACTGTACTATATGTCATTCACGTAGATAAAAAACTGCCAGACATCTGACACATCGGTTCCGATGAAATAGATCACCCGTCGCTCACTCGGAATTTTTATTCGCCTAAACCAAGTACGACTGATATTCCATTATTGTACCACTGAAGAAGTGCCTCGCTGGTCTTATCTGTCACTCGTCACTCTCAAGAAGGAGTTTCGTTATCCTCGAAATAACCGTCCCACAATGCCTCCCTCTGTGGTCCAGAAAACCAATGGATGCTGTCCTTTATTCATTTCAGCAGAGTTCACCCGGAACCCGATGATGTATGTGGAAGGTCTCTACTCTGGTTGAGTGCACAGTGATAATGCAGTCCCCCTTCATTGGTGGACTCGCTTTCTTGGCGTTTTACTGGTCGTGATAAGTACACTAGAGACATCCTGAGATAGAACCTTTTCACACTCAAAGAGACCCTAAATAACAGACAGCATTGTGTCTGCCAAATGTGCTCAAAATAAAAGAGGTGTGGCTCACTTGCTGTTGTGCAACAATTTCCTTTTGCTTCCTCGTAGCGTGCCTTGAAAAGTCACGTGAAATGACGCTATACCGGACACTGTGTACGATATGCTACCGAAGTGATGACAGGTTTGTTGTACGAGAGCTTTCCTCCCCATCATTCTGATACAATTTTGCTTTGTCTTTCTTCAAGTAGCCTAAAGCACAAAAGGATATACTGGATAGGATTGCTTACTTAAGTCCTTCCCACCCAGTGAAGGTCTTCTGGTAAAGTTTGTTCACTTGTACTCTGTTGGTTCCTCACGTGTTTCTACTCTTTCAAGATGGCGTTTCTTGAAGGCGTTTCCGAATACATGGTTGATGGTCCATCTCCTATCGACGAAATGCTAAGAGTGGTCCATCAATCTCGAAAAAACATCTGATGTTGATTTTCTGAAGAGTGCTATTCTGAAATCGTTTATGCTTCTTGTTTTTCTGTCTAAAGTATGAAAGTATGATAGTGCTGCAGAATCTACTTTATGGACAGCATTTTTACCTAAGGCTTGGTTAGTTTGACTATTTCTCATTATCCACACTGATTGCAGCTGCTAATTCTACTTTAGATGTTCACCGGCGAGATTCCCAACGGGGCTCAAACGGAACTCGGTAGACATATTAGCACGCTTGCATTCCGTGGTAACCGAGGCTTATGAACAAGCGAAGTACGATGAAGAACTGACGACCGTTTTGGGTTCGCTGCTTGGTTACGGTTCACATATTCACACTGTTGGAAGACAAACTGAGCTGGAGTTTGGTGGTAGAAAACGACGTGAATTTGATTGCCGTCCTTTTCAGGGACCCAAAACGCCACCCTCGCCCAACTCCAAGTATAAAACCGGAATTTTATCACATACAACAAGGACCAAAACCAGCTGCGGCCTTGGAGAGACGAATGAAGCTCGGTCGGATAAGTACATTGAGCGGATCAGGGTTGATCCAAGAAATAGGACACTGAATACCAAATCTTCCATACCCCATCGACATCTTGTGGACTCACGTGATTACCTTCATTCTTTTGATGAAGAGGTTTCCAAGGTGTATTGCAAGCCACATCGGTCCCAGCATAGTCTTCACGGTCGTACTCATGGTCATGCTCTTCGTCATCACGTGACAAGAGACAACAAAGACCAGTTTGTAAACTTACATGACAAGCGTTTGCATAGTTCTTCCTGTGACTGTGACCGAAAGTTGAAGTGTACAGGGTGCGTGCTTGAAAGCCGGAGTAGTCGAACCCAATCCAATACTAGAACCCATTCAGGCTCAACCAAGTGTCGCAGTCCGTTTAGAAGCAGCCAGAGGAGAAGTGATGAGCGAATCACTGAGGGGCCTGCAGAACAGCAGGCGCGAAAACGGCGAGCAATAGGTGACTGCTCACCTGGATGCTCCAAGCATCTTCGTCGACATCGATTCACTAAAACTGAACGGGATATTGACGGCATCCCGGTCCGGGCATCAAATATGGATACATCACCTCGAGACCTACTGCATCACACCAATACGAGACAAGCCACCGTGGTTGACCTGAAAACAGCGGGGGATTCGTCCCGTCATTCAACTGCATCCATTTCAGGCTCACCTTCTCCAACGCGCTCGGGATCATTCAGACATAGCTATCGTTGCAAAGCTGTGTTACACCACATACTGCAAGACTCACCCGAGCGCAGTCCCATTCCTATTCGGAAGAAGCCATATGGTCATAGTACAACACAAGGTTGGACAGATACGAAGGACCAGGCAACCTGTAGTAAACGTCCAACGAACTACGTATCCAGTGTCACTGAAAGGAGCTGTGATAACCGTGGTCATCTGCATCGAGTCTCAAAACGGCGACAAATACACTACTTGGGACCACCATCTCCATACACAGTGGCGTATAGTTTCCGTGCAGATGCCCTGTTGACCGATACTCCTGAATCACCGGATCGGGCAAAGTATAATGACCCAGCTGTTCAGACAGAGCAAGACGTTTCGGTGGACACCACGCAGTCTGACCCCACTTCTTCTGAAAGATATAAAGCTTGCAACATAGACTTGTCCTCTTATAACAATGCCGAACTACGCAGGTTGAAAAACTGGATTTTGTTTGGTAAGCCAGCGCAGTCGTCTCCATCGTCCCCAAAACCTGGCTCAGGTGACAAGCCCAGAGTGGACTTTGCAGTCCCACGAATAACACCATGCAAAATCAGTCCAAACAAATGTGAATTAAAAGACAGCTCTAAGGAACTAACTCCGGCCCCGAATTGCTCCCTGACCGAACCGAAAATCGACCAGTCCCTTGCATCAGGCAATCCAAGGCCCGGTACGGAACTCCGATCTCCAAGTGTCAGCAGTACCAGCAGCACCAGTAGCAGTCAGTCGAGTAACAGCAGCAGCAGTGGCAGTAGTGAAAGTGCTGAAAGCAGCACAACCAACGACACCACGTGTATTTCTTCCACGCCTTCTGAAGGATCCAGACCAGAAACACCTACTCCGGTTTCACCGGATAAGCTGCTAGCAAATTCTTTCAGTACACGACAACAACCTTTGCATGCAAACAACCTCCATGAAGTGGGCGAATTGGCTCAGAAAGAGGTAAACATTGCTACTGAGAACAACCATTCAGTGAACGATATGGCTGCACAACTATTGGGACCGGCAGGCGCGGATAAACACGAAGTTCAAATGGATTCATCCGGTAGGGAAGTTGAACAGTTCCAGGAGGAGAACGCAAACCAGCAGTTATCTGAAGACTACTGCGGTGCAGAATTGAAAGGCAGCTGTCCGTTTACCGAGGAGAACGGTGAGGCTTATCATGGAGAAAACGAAAATATCATATCGAATGGAATTAGTAGCCAGTCTGTCGAAGTCAACCCCTGTAGTCCTCGATCGGAACTTCAAGAATATGATCCAGCTCCAAATATGGCGCATGCGGATGAAATGACTGAAGAGGAAACGGTATTTTGTGACGAAACAGTCAATGGTAATTTAGTGAGGAGCCCCAAGAAGAATAAACTAGAAAGAAGGAGAAGGGATAAGAATTCAACGTCTGGACATGATCGTCTGGTGGACAACGAGTCTTGCGCTGACCGAATAGATGGTGTTTTGCAAAACTTTGAGACGCGAACAAGCGCGGATGAAGAGGAAGGTGAAGTAATATCGGACTGTACAAGCGATGTGGATGAATATCATCTCAGCAAACGTCCTCGTAGAACCCCAGTCCAAGAGGCCGATTCCAGTAAACTTTCAGCAACTTCCAGTTCAGACGTTCTGCGGCCCAAGATGGTGTGCAGATCAGATATTCATAAGCATGTGAGAAGCCGCCGTTCCAACTCTAGTGAAAACTTGACGAACTGTAGTAGCAGGAGAAGGACCGAGGAGTCCAGGTTTAAACAGCCCAGTACTCCGAAACGCAAACGTAGAGACCGGTTTGAAGTAGAACGACTACGAACCTCTGTGGACAATTTGCGTGAACAGTCAGGCTTTTGTGATCGGTACAGAAAGGCAAAATACATCCGCAGTAATTATCTAGATGAGCCCATTCCCTATGAGCGAAAACCCCATCAGCAAAATCTGACCAGATCTAACTGCATATTGAAACTAAACCGAGGGAGACCGGATCTTGATAAATTTTCAACTCGTGGAAGATATTTCCTGACTCATCCGGACAGTCTATCACGGGGACGTGGAAGAAGAATGTATGCACCGCGCTTTGAATTCGAATCCGAGTACCAACGAGGAACTCACCAGAACAGAGCCTTCCAAAGGTCTATTGCCAGGTCAGTAACTAGATTTCGAACATCCAGAACATTTGCGAAACCCGGAATCACTCACAGACACATGTTTGATCTTCGAGAACACAAACTCAGTCGCAAGCACCAATGATCTCCTCTTTGTGGTAGACAACAATTTTTTTCTCGTGTGTTTCACCATTCCTTCACTAACGCTGTTTATCTACTTCGTTCTCTGGTACTATCAATAAATCTTACGCAATTAAATCAAGCGGATACTGTCATTCGCTGGAATCAGATGAGCAGTCGTATCACCTGATCTACTAATTGTGTTATATAGGGGCGAAATTCCATTAAAACAGAGTCAAATCGCTGAAGAGATCATTGCGTAGCTGAACGTGCACTGAACAGGTTGGGGCGAAATTCCATTAAAACAGAGTCAAATCGCTGAAGAGATCATTGCGTAGCTGAACGTGCACGTATGTGAACAGGTTACATGTGAAGTTCGGGGAATACATATGCACCCGAAAAACAATCCATCTAAGGAAGACGGCCCTAGATTGACTCATCAAAGTGTATTTTCAATAGAAAACTCCCGTCCTGAGAGAGCCTGAGTGGAGAGAAAGACCATTCCGGATGATTTTCGGGGTGGCCCCTCTGGACAAGTATGTTTAGAACGTAGTCATACCGTCCGTTTCACCCATCAAATGGTCAAATGTACAGATTGTGCCTTACTTTGGACAAACAAGGCCGGTTTTGCTGTTACTGTCATCATGAACAAGGGATCACTACTCAGGGTCAACTGAAGACAACGAGTGGGAAGAAAACCAATTGGAAATTAGGTGTAAAAACAGTTGACTACTAGAATGCATATTTTCTTCGTGCGGGAATTCGTCCCGTGTGCTTTGCATGCTGGATCCGCTGTAGATCCGTTCCATCCAGTCGCTTCGGACTATGTACCTATACGTTACAGCCCTCTTTATACACAGGAATAGGTCCAGCTATAAATGGCCGGCTTCTCGACTCCAGTGCATCATACGCTAGTTTACTGCGTACCCAAGCCGTATCAATCCTATTTTCTATTGGGTTATTTTACCACAGATGCACATAAGACTGTTCAGCTGTAGCACCCTTTCGGTGCCTAGCTACCATGTCACCTGAAGGAAGCACGAGAACTGGAATATTGTCAGGTTAACCAAGCCTAGACGGGGGAAGTCGAGAGGCGGAGGTCGGGTTCGAACCACGGACCTTCCTGTCTGTAAATCCGCGCTCTAACCACGGAGCTCAACTTCACCTGTGTAGTCGCGTGTTGTGCGTTGATTGGGATGACATTCAATTTGGTAGCTTGGGACCGGAATGTCTTATTCGTTTCTGACACAGTCAGATAAATAGATATCCAAAAGCGTCACCTAGAAATGATTCTTGACGAATGTCTTTTCATCGGTGGAAAAGAATGTGACATCAAGATCTGTTACAAGGTGGAAGACGAGCTCGAACACTCATTGGCGACCCGTCATAACAGAGTTCCTCCACGCATACCGTTCGGCACTGCCATCGAACCACCAATTTATTACAATAAAAAGAGGATGACTCATTTCGGAAGAACACAATTAATCTATCTAGCTGTGTCATATAAACCCAGAAAAAAAGTCAGGTTTGTCTGACATTGCCAAATTACGCACAAAACTGAAAGGTTAACCATTTTTTCCGAGTTGCTATCTGATGCGAAATCGTGGTGAAATCACCTAGCTACAACTTTTTGGGAATGTGTCTGTTACGGTTCGGCCACGCAGCGAGCAACAATATGATATGCGGATTGTGGCAATGCTCTATCCCCAGCCATGTTGCTTGATGCAGACTCCTAGCACGGCGGATAGTAAGAAGACGAAAAACCTCGGACACAAACCTTAATGATCCAAAAACACGCGATCAACAGGCGATGCCCCGAGCTTGCGAACCCAAGTGAGTAAAAAGATGGCATCGTGTAAGTATGTGGTCGGATTTGAATTTCTTGGAATATCAATAGGCCATTGATTTATTCATAGTTTGACCTTGAAGATGCCGGAAGCTCGCTAGCACACATAAAAATACAGCGTTTTTGGGGGAATATTGATATCCCCAACAGTGTTGGCGGTGGTCTGTCTGTACGTTCCTTCGCCAGAACATTTTTCGTTACTCAGATGTATCCATCAAGGCTGTGCAACCATAGACTGAAGGCAGCATGGTTCAAAATGCTGTGATGTTACTCGACCAATACACTCGTCCGCTTAGCAGTTCGGTTATGATGAACACCATAAACGAGAGATTCAGTTGGGCGAACCTCTTAAAAACCAAATGGGTAGGCAGATGGGTGCATTATTCGAATTTTGTGTCATTTAAATTCAATTGGGATAGGGGGCCGCGTTTATCTGATGAACCCAAACAAGAGGGAGAAAACCACCGCGGATTGTTCAATGGTTTTCAGCAACCCTATGAGTAGTGTAATAGGTGTAGAGCATGATGTCACCCAAAGGAACAGTTGGTTAACAAATGAAAAGACTTTCTGTAATGAGGTTACCTATGCCAGATATGCTGAACCCAGATGATTTTTCAAAGAATTCCGCACACTTATCAAAGATTCTGCTTATTCACAATGGTCCAGCTTTTCTCTGATCATTATCAGAAATGGAGTGGTCTTTTTAACGGTCTTTTTTATCGGGCGAACTCAGAGGCAGCTGAGTTTGGACACAACCTTGTAAGGTGAACTGTCTCTGAAAGTTACCCTGAGGTAATGGAACCGTTTCGTGCTTTGCCTTTACGCCATTTACGTTAGACCAGGCGTTGTTATGAGAAGTAAGTCTACAGACTGGTGTTTTGACTGACCCCTGTGACGAGTAGCGACCACACTGCTAATCGTCATATAAAAGCAATAAGAATGGCGACCTGTTTTTTCTTCATTGTTTGTTCTAGCACTTCAAATGGTTGTTTTGGATGTCACTTAAATATGCGGAATTTTGGTTGAAAGTTAGTGAGGGTCAAAAGCGGCTATCTTGTGCAGGGAAGGTCGTTTTTCATGAGTATACTCATTTGTACACTGAGTTAATACACTCATCGAAAGTCTTAGCTGGTTCTCCTGGTAATGATGAATGTGGGTTCACGTAGAACATAAAGTTAATGGAAACTGGGGGACCGTGCCCTCCTCATGAACTCAAAGTGGCCAAATCGGTTGTGGATTGTAGAAGAGTCTTCAGCGACCTTGTGAGTAGTGTGTTACGTCCTTAGAATACTATTTTGTCTTTGGTGGAGGTTGAGGTGAGTCCAGTGTTACTCACACCTGGAAACGGATAGTCAAGTCTTCTCACAGGATCCATAATTTCTCAATGAGGAACTGAAATTTCGTATGGATAAAAGATGAATAGCTACTGAACTGCTGACGTTTCTCCGCCGGTCAAAGTAGACAAGAAATATCACGAAAAGTAACAGGCTGTGGACATTACCTGGTTTTGCTCATAGTCTAATCTAAGCTACAAGGGTTACGGCACAATATTCCTTGACCGGCCACTTACCGATGTGTGACTCCTCAGAACAGGTGCAGCTTAAGCATGCTATGCAACAGGGGTTAGTTGGGAAGGACCATCTAGGACGCCACATAAATTTCTTTGCATTGACAGGCCTATGGAGTGGTCTGATGACATTAAGGTTCATAAAGTCGTTCGTCACACACAAGAAATGATCATCCGCAGTCAATTTTGAGGTCGGTAATTACAGATTTATCTATATTTCCCTGTCGCGTTCCGTCGAGGACTTTTCAAGGACTTTATAAAGCATGTAGTGTCTGTAATCCGTTGTCACATTTACCATTCTTCCTGAACTTAAACCACACTTTGTAACTGTCGTTCACATTGTATCATGACGTTTGTTTTAATGTTACGAATACACAATTTTCCGGCGCGACCTGCTGACTTCTTGCTGAACGACCGTACTTACGCTCCGTTGAACTGTTTGTTGACTGCTGAACCAGTGGGACCAAATCTCTGTGTTCGTGTCAACTGTTGAACGTCACAATGAATCCCTGTGACATTTTTTTTAGCCGTGAATAATTTTCCTACCGTGGAATATATCACTCACGCGGAACCATCTGTGGGAAATTTCGACAAGTGAATATTTCCTTTCACAGCCAGTTACTACGTTTGGATCGGTGTAGTGGACTATTGGATCTACACATTCGTGAGTCCCCATTTGACTATTGATTCTTTTCCTATTGTGGTTTTGTGATTTTGTATTGGTTACTTTTGCTTGTTAATTTATCCGAACACGCTGATAATGGTTCTAGTCCGCTACAAGCATCTGTAGCTGACTTGAAATAGTGCAAGCAGTTTGTCCACCCAGTTGAATGGAAATGCGAAAAGGAGCTGAATTTTCTTGGCAAATGTTTACCTCTTTCGATTCTGCACTTGACAGAAGGCCACCACGGGAATTTCCTCCGTTTTTTAATAAATGCCTCTTCCCCTAAAACTCCCCCCCACCCTAGTTGTTACATGGTGTGATTTTTTAACCTGTAGATTTAGAGCCTATCACTGTCAACAGCAGTCACTCTAGGATAAATGGTCAAACTAGCTCGATAATGTACAGTCCGAATCAGAGGAACATAGACATTCGCGATGAACATTTTTCAGGTCACACTGAAAACACGTGATTAGGGCCGGCTTTCTTCATGTTAGCATAAATGGAACCCTTCAATGGGAGAGTTTCGGTCTCAAAAGATGACCGGAAGAACACAGTACTGCAAAACGTGTGCTCTAATCAGGGAAGAATGAAATCCTACGATTGTAAAGGCCACTGGAAAATCTGTTTTTTTTTAATTGAGCGTGATTGATGCGTTTGATTGCCATTGCGGCGCCTCGTTGGTGCATTTCTGTTTTTCCAATGTCATCGCATATGCCCTAATACCGACACGCTGATTCCAACACTTGTCTTTTCTCGTTTTCATTACTTGACCACGTGACTGTCATATATCTACCTGTCATCTACTTTATCGACAATACGTATTTTTTGTGTGCTTTCGTTCGTTTGTTGATGAGGTCAAATTCATTTTTATTCGCTTTGTCATCTTTAGCAGCCTGTGAAACTTTGTCCACCAATTGTCTTTTGACGTATGCAGTAAGACGACCCGGCTGGCAGGACAGTTATCCTGTCCTTTGGTATGCGCTTTGCACCCACAAACTGTAAGGTCATGCTCGTGGACATGCAGTCACTGAACCCATGGAGAAGCACC